TTGTGTTGTATAGTTTACAGGTGATAGCTGACAATTTGGTGGTGTCTGTTAAATACAGTCTGATTGTATTGTGTTGTATAGTTTACAGGTGATAGCTGACAATTTGGTAGTGTCTGTCAACGAAGACTACCTACTGGCTGGACAGGAAGTACACCTGAATGCTGGGGATGAGGTTGCAGTGATCCCACCGATCAGTGGAGGGTAGACAGCGTGTCGGACAAGCTCCATAAACATAGGTAAAGGGATTAACCCTTTCACCACCGTAGACCATAATGGACTCATCCCTATAAATGCATGGTAGAGTCTACTAAAGTTACCTAGGGGTGAAAGGGTTAAACAAGAAAATGCAGCAAAACAGATAGTGAGACGAAAATCACTTACTGACAGTCAAACAACCACAAGGGACAGATCCTGCACGCTTGAATTTATTCCTCAAATATTAATGGCATTCATTTTAATGATAAGAATATTCTGTTCATGCTCAATATCCTAACAAACTGCACTATTTACACTCAATAATTTCCCCAGGGTACGAAAATGTACTTTGTTTTACTGCATGTTTAAATGTCAACAATTTGGTTATAACATCACCTCCTAAGAGAGAATTAAAGTACAGTACATATACGAAAAATATCATTTATACTTGCCTGGGTTTTTTTACAATGATTTTATTTGATAATGTACTTTTAAATAAACTATAGCAACTGTCTTCTGGGTTAAAGTGTTAAATATAGCCCCTTTTTATACGACCTTCAAATTTGACGGCAGTTATTATGGTATGGCGTTGTCCGTCCATCCGATGTAAACTTTGTTGGTCCGGCAATCTCCTCCTACATTTGTCGACCGATCTCTTAGAAACTTAGTATACATGATAATCATGATATGAAGTTGTGTCTCCCTTAAAAGAATTTTGATTCAACAATTTTTCCAAAAGTTATTGCCCTTTGTTCATTTCAGTATTTGATTTTTGTCCGGAGATCTCCTTCTACATTTTTCAACGAATCTCTTTGAAACTTGGTATACTTTATAATCATGATATGAAGTTGTGTCTCCCTTAAAAGAATTTCGATTCAACGATTATTGCAAATTTTATTGCCTTTTGTTCATTTCAGTATTTGATTTTTTGTCTGGAGATTTTCTCCTACATTTTATACAGCATGTCAGCTAACCACTCTTAGAATGATGCAGATCTTATTTCAATAGTAATCAGGTTGTCTCTGTCTGTCAGCTTATTGCTTTCCGTTCCTTACCCTATGAAGTTTTTGAATGAATTTACTTGGTTTACTATTTATCCACGATTTTTCCTGGGGTTTAATGTGCGACATATTTGACACATGTTTATTGAGGCTGCTGTATTCTGATTAGTTCCATAGCCTTCCGCACAATATCCTATGTGTCATCATGGTCCAATTTTGATTCAGCTTGCCTGGCATTCTACTTATTTGAGTTTCTCTTTGGAGTTTAATGTTTGGCATATTCTTTGCATAATAAATGAGGCTGCTACGTTTGATTGGCATATTGCTTTCTGTGCTAATTTTACAACATCAGGATCAAATTTAGATCAACCTTTCTTGGTGTATTTTCTTGGGTTTTATCTTTAAAGGAAATTCAACGAATATTTAATAAACTACTATTCTGATTGGCTAATTGTTTTCTGTGCAACACCCTACGAGGGAATGATTGGATATTGTATGATACCCAAGCCTTTGCTCAGTTTTTATGTTTGCCAAGATCTGATTGGCTAATAGATTTCTGTGTAATAGCTTATGATGAAATTACCAGATTTTGATTGAACTTGCCTGGTTGACTATGTAACCCAATATCTCACTCTGGTCTCATGGTAGGTAGATTCTGAGCATGTTCAATGCTGCTGCTCAGTTCACATTGGCTCTGGCTCTCTTGAGTAATAATCCTATGTAGGAATGATAAGATTTTAATTGAACTTGCCTTGTGCATAATTTACCAAATTTCCTGCCTGAGTTCAACAGTAATGCGTTTTGGTAGATATCCTACATTGTTATTTCCTCTTTTTTGCAGGTATTTTAATCCAAGGTTTCTCATTTGCTGACACATATTAATACTACTTTTGTTTTATTGATATGATTTTGTTCATATTAAATTGTAAATGAGACTTAAGGAATAGTGAACATGGTGAAAAAGAACTTACTATAACCCCATCCTATAAAACAAAATGGCTGCCATGGCTTCTGATCGGCGCCTTTCAAATTGAAATTTTCTGATTTTGCTCATACTTGATGTTTACAGACATTTGTCAGATTACAAACATTAATGCTTTATTACCAATAATTCAAAATCCAAAATGATCACTGTGGCCTCTGCTTGGCGATTATAGGGGAGATATACATGCAGACAAGTTGTAGGGCCTTTGCTGACCTGTCGGTGTTCTACATCCTACATAGCTTGTGCCGAAGAGCTCCCTCATAGTTTATTATTCCTACGTAGATGAAACAGACCAGTTTCAATGTAATCCCTGTGAAGTTGTACCGAAGTTTCAGTTGTTATTACCTTGTGTTATTCCAGATGGATCATGTAGAGGTGACAGAGGACAGGATCAGTACAGACCACACCACCAGTCTTGTATCCTCCCCCACATGTGGCGCCATCTCTGTCTTCATCGGTATGTTCAAATGCAGAATCATCCACGATACTCCAGGGACTACGCTCACTTATGCTCTCTGCACCCCTGAAATATGTCACAACAAAATTGAAGGCACAAAGATAGCTATTTGATTGGTCTCAGGTGAAAAGGCCTGACCAATAGCTATAGCTAGGCTGATACCTGTCCTTTGAAGATTACAAAGGGGCAACATCCAACTTCAAAGCCAGTCAATTTTACCGTTAGGCAATCTCGAGATTCTTTTGATGTACATCAAAGGATTAAACTATTCTCTTTATCCACAAGGCTGTGAGTTCAGAGCCTTCAATTTCTTCATGACATAGTCCAGGGGTGCAGAGAGCATAAACACTTGTATCAGACTCATGTTGTGCAGGCCTTGTAGACCCTTTTAGTTTCAAATGAAAGTATTATTTTGAAGTCAAACATTAATTGATGTTGGACCCTTTCTTTTTTTGAGGCACTCCCTGTTCTATAATTTCACTTTTTAATTTCAATTGACTAATCAAAAAGAATTTGACAAGGTGCTACTCCTATATCAGTCCTCTCATACTCATTCAAATATATATATATATTGAGATACATGTATTGAGATATAGAGTTTCCTCTTGACTTTCTTGGTATTTACAATGCCCAGTCGACTTTCACAATTCATAATACAGAATGGGTTGTACAGACCTGATTGTCCTATGTAAGTGTGTAATTATGAACACATAATGTACAAATGTAATCCTTGTGTTAGATACCTGTCTGTCTGGCCTCTCTATATGTGCTTAAGACCTTTTGAATAACGCAACTGATTTGGCATTTTAAATTTCTCTCATGTATGGTGAGAAACTGCCCTCATATGCCACTATCATGCTGTTCTCAACCTGTGAAAGAATAGTATTGATTTTCTCATTATACTAGAAGGTGCTATATTGAGGTATGAATTATTATAGAAGAAAGTTTCTTCTTTGTGTTGACTCAAGGTAATGTTCTAGCTTTCAGATTTGTGACTCAAGGTAATGTTCTAGCTTTCAGATTTGTGAACTCTACAGTACACTGTGTATTCAAGGGTATATACAAGACATGTGAGGATATTGAAAAAAACATCAGTGGTTTTTCAGGCTTCTGTGCTGCAACTGATCACAAGACAAAACAACAATCATGTCTCATCTATAATTCACGGCCTTGCTAAGTTCTCCTGATTCCTCTCATAAACACATATAAGGGGTGCTACTGATGGAGGGAAGAGTAACGCACACCTCACGTAAAAAGGTGCAACTACAGTCTGCCTCCCGGGTCTGTAGTATTGGTCTGTGCATGTCTGATGGGAATGGCCAGAGGTGACCAAGCATTAAGTAAAACAAGTGCATGAGAATAAATACTTGTGGTTTTTCGAATGCCAACTTTCCACGTAAATGAATAACTGATCTGCTAAAGAGGGCTTTTACGTCCCTCCAAGGTCAACATTCTGTCTGTTTACAGAGATGCTGTGGGTACTCAGGTTTCTGTAGTGATGCTTAGAGGTTACCAGAGTAGGAAATAACTATCTTCTTTTAAAAAGTTCAACGGGCGTAGATATAGTCAAAACATCCTCCTTAGGGTCTCTTTGAATTAATCGCATACCAGATTTGGTGCACGCTTCAGTGAATGTTTTCTTTTATACTGGAACGTGTCCACAAACTCTCTGTTCACGGAAGGAAAGGCGATTTATTTATCTCTGTTACTGCACCAGTATTGCAGACCAAGGGTATCATACCACTGTTTCTATATCCTGACACCTCCAAGTCGGCCAGGGGAGTTGGCCACCTAAATATAAGAGCGAAATTAGATCAAGGGTCAAGTATACTACAGGTTAGGATATATGTATGTTATATGGATATAAGCCGAAAAATTGTCCAATAACGGGCCTCGACACATGTCCTTTCTCACACTTATTGAACAGTTTGAGGCTTACATCTAACTTAAAACATAGTCCCCTCTGAGTGCCTCTAATGCTGATTCAGGTAACAAATTCCCAATTGGTGTTCACTGACCTATTTAACTTATTGGAAAGTATAAGGTGAACCTATTGTCACACTCATGCAAACCTCATGCATACATACTGTGTAGTGCTTTAAATTTTTGCGGGGTCAATATTTCACGGTTTCTTATGCAGTACCTTTTTCGGAGGTTAAATTTCACTGTGCACCTGAATCCCATGTGTCGTGCACAGTATTTTGAGTGTCACAATTTAACGGTTAAACCTTGAAATACTGGTAAACCGTTTGAAAACACTGATCCCAAGCATCGTCATCCGCCAGTGACTTCACTTTGAGGAAAATTTAATGTGTATATATGTACCTTTGTAGGAGTAAACTGTGATCAATTATTCACCTACCGTGTACACATAAATATGGTGTGGCAACTCATAGGTAAGAGTTGTTTTCACATGGATTGTCCAGTTGTTCGGTAATAATCTTATTTGAGCTCATTTAAGCTAGCTTGCATAACAGCGTTGAGTTACAAGTTGTGATAAGGTCTGTGAAAGTGATTAACTTTTTCAGTGATTTCGCTGGTGTATAGAGTTGGCAGCTCTTAGTCAAAGCGCGAATATAGCGATATTAAAACCCCCACGAAATATAGCGATATTAAAACCCCCACGAAATATAGCCACTAGACAGTAACTTTGGACTCTGTGGATTCACATGTGTTCCTATGGCACAATGTCCTCTGACAATGAGGAGGATCTTTTTTCAAACTCAGTCAGAATTTAAGGACGCTTGAGAGAATGCACATTTTGGAAATGGAAAAGGTAAAAAAACCAAATCATATGGTAAAAGTGTGTTTCTTTATTTACTACACATTATAAATATTTTAGCATAACATCTAAATTATTAACAATAGCACAAATCAGGTGTAATTGAGATGTGATTTCTCAAAAAGTTTTGAACTGGAAATAAAATGGCTATGGCACATGCCAGGTGAATATGGGTCAGGCCGCGATATGACACATTGAAAATTATCACACATACGAAGCAACCCAAACGAGTATGTTGGTTCTGATCCTTACGATATTCAGCTGATAATTAAGTTACAGCATCGCGATTTGATGATAAGGATGAAGATTTCCCGTGAGGTAGCTCTATATAGATTATTGCATTTGTTATTGGATGGAGTGGTGTTGTGAGGGACTCTTGTACTCTAGTTATTTTATGGTACAATGTAGTTATTTGTACAATAAACTAACTGGATTGATGCCAATTATATTTATGATCATACAACTGTTTATTTATACATTGGTGCCGTCACTGCACTATACCTGCCTTCAGGAAGCACTCTTTATAATGATTTCTCCATAGAAAACTACCAGAACAAACATTCCCTATGAAGAGATTTTAATTAAAATTAAAGAGCTTTTTACTCACATAAATTCAAAACAGGAAACTATACCTACGATCAGTTAAAATATTGTAACATTTTCAAATGCTTAATACTTACACTAAAAAAAACCAGTTCTCAAAACAATCTACCTCCAACACAACTAGTTATGTATGATCCATGCTTTCATTGTTTAGCTATTTTAAATCTTATTAAATGGTGTCATCTTGATTAAACTTCTTTTTACTTCTATCACCTACTATCCGCAATATTTGCAATGATTGTACTGTCTGTTGTCCCTCCTGATAAAGAATGACGATGTCAGTCGAACCTCGGATTCGCCAAACACCATTTATTCCCCAAACTATTGATCTGGACCCTACGAGTTGAGTTAGTGGGGTTTTACTGTACATACTGTAAGCTTATAAAGTGTACATTTATCTTCAATGAGTTTATCAGTTGTAAATTAGCATTTCAAACAGGTATTTTCAGGTGTGGAACAACACATTGTTGTATAAAAGAGGTACATGTCAATGACTAGTACATTTTACATGCTACTGTAGTATGACAAATTCAACCTTTAAAGTTTATCAGTATACGTCTTTTGTAAGCCAAAGTTTACATGAAAAATATTTTCAGGAAACAGGAAACCAAAAGGTCATGCAAGATCACTAGAGTTCATTTTTTAAAGGAATTGTTTTTAGATATCTTTTACAAAAATCAAGTTTCTAACAACAAATATGTAACACTGGGACTAGGTGCTGTACTATATAGTAAATAATTAACTAAGGGAGATGTTTACTGTGTGATTAAAACTAACTCCAGGAGTAAGTTTTTTATATTGATTGTACATTAATGAGATTGAGTAAGAACAGTTTTTGTTAGATGCTAGATTGATGTTTTCTAAAGATTTTAAAAACAGGGTACTATTAAGTAACACTATAATCACATTTATCTTGCGTGTCGTCATGAGCTAGCGCATGCTTCCAACTCTTAATTACAACGCGCCTTAAACATGATACACTCGCAGAAGCATTGTATTTGTATGTATGAATTGAAACATAAAAAAGTTAACATGTATTGTCTTGATTTTGCACCTGATGTTATCATGTGATCATTTTACATTTGTTTTCAGTAAGTTCATTTTAAATATGGGGATGATTACATAATTACTGTTCTTAAGTTTCCTTACGTAGCAACTTTAATTACAATGGTAACATGAATGTGAAAATACATAAAATATCAGTGAACTAACCTTTAAATCATCAATTGAATATTAAACTAAAAGTACTTGACTGAACTATACTCTATGTGAAAACATCTGCAGAATGATTCAACCGTGCCCAACGTAAAATGGCTTATAAGGATAATTCCTAGCATCAATCAAACCAGGAAGATCCTGGAATAGAACTGTAATTATGTGGTGTTTCATGTTCTGTAACCTCAAGTAGTGATCTTCCTGTTGTTTTCACACTGCACAGAGATTTCGCCAAGATAACCGCACAGAACCTGGAGATAAGTCTAGTTTATATATAGACCCAGAAGGAAGGTAAAATCTATAGTCCAAAATGGAGATGAACTGAAGTCTGGTTAGCTTAAGAAACATAAAACAGAAATATTTATTTCAAATTACATACTTCATAATGTCACATTTTACT